GATAGATAGATAGATACAATTACATTAAACAGAAGTAAATTACATACATATACTCATATACAACAACCCAAAAGAAAAAAACAAAATAAATAAATCAACCCCCTGAAAAACTGAGAATAAGCATTTCCTTATTTACACGACATAAAACATCTCAACCTCCCCAAATAGAAATCAACTCATTCAAGTCTGATACCATCCTATAATAAACAAACTCTGTCCTAGAACGTGCAAAATGATGGGTTAGATGCAGAGATACATTTCAATAAAGCTAAATTATTATTCAATTGGTATTATTACAAAGCATTTTGTAAGTCACATTGTTTATTTCATTTCATCCTGCTTTATTTCCTACAGATCTCTCCAAACATAGACTACATTTATTTTGCTATATATATGAATGGATGATTGACAAAAAAAGAATCACAACAAAATAAGAAACACTTGGGGCGGCACGTAAGCATGTTTCCAGGCTTATTGTTTTCACACATTTCTGCCAATCATTATGTGTTTTCTGTATACACAGTCTGAAAATGTTACAAGGAAAACATGTGAGGCTCATGACTGTGCATGTGGGTGGCCTAATTAAGGTTGAGAGAGGGAGAGGGATTGCTTGCAGAAATACCCCTATACTATCCTGTCTATGCTAAAGGAAACTGTAAGCAGCTTTGCACAAAAGTAGGCCCCTTTAAGTGTTCAACGGGCAGTCAAAAGGGGAACAAGGGAAGCATAGAGCAGTAGAGATGGTTTAAAAAAAAAAGCAGTAAAATAGGAACTTCAAACTGTTGCTGTGGTGAGTTTGGAAAATTCCTCTTTGCCTCACAAAGATTAACACTTTTTTTTTTTGTCTTGAACAAACCCAACCAAATGTTTTTGGTAGATTTCTGTAGCATAATAAACTTAGCCAGAGATGATGGAGTGATTATTTTGGCTTCTAGACCACACAGTATAATCTCCACCTCTGCCAGCAAGAGTCCCCCCCCCCTCCCTGCAAAAAGATAATCATGCTTGAATGACCCATCTGCTGCTCTGTGGATACACAAACTGCAACAGTGATCTCTGCTCCCAGACAAAACATTCATAGGATTTCCCTTTTTAATATTGTCTGCCATAAAAGACAGGATAATGGATAAGCGTTTCATAGTCAGTCCATAACATTTCTAAATATGATAAACTACACTGCATTTGCTTTTTGCAATTCTAATGGAAGTTATTAAAAATTATAAATGGCAAGCATAGGCGTTTTTAGTCTATTTTTCGGGGTGCTGAAGCAAGCCTAATTTGAATAAAAGCACCCCTATAATATGATTTGCTTACTGTATAGTTTATGCACTTTTGACAATAATAATAATAAAAAAAACAATAAAAAATTGACATTGTACAGTATTTGGCTATTTAACCCCTTCAATTATGTTCTGGTTCTTCAGAAATAATGATAATAAACAAACAAAAATAAAGAATACAAGCCTAAGGGACCTCCTTACCCAAAATGTTGACCAATGCTTTGAGGAAAACGTTGCATTCCGGTGTTTTCTGAAATGTTCAGTCAGATTTCTGCACCTATTGATGGTGTGTTGGTGAAATGTCCATCAGCGAGGGGCTCTAATGTGTCTGAGATTGGTTTGTTTGATTATCTTTAAAACCTTATTGGTAAATTGTTATCATTTTTTTTCTCAGTTTCTAGTTATTTGAATTTATAATCCATTTTATGATTGCCATTCTAAAGAGGGAGAGGTGTAGAAGCAGGAGCAGAGGTGCAAGGTGTGTGCAAAGTGAAAGGTCAGGAAAAAAACAGGTAAGAAAACAGACAGGCAAAAAAAAAAACCGTTTAACTCAGTAGATTATTTTACATATATCATGGAAGGACTTTTGGTACACAAAAGAGAAAACTACTTTCATGAAAACCGATTCAAAGGTTTCCATGAAATGAGTTGATTTAAACACTTTAATTGATTGGAATATTCTTCTATAAAATGCTGCTTTTTGCTTTGCTTGTTAGATGTTTGGCACACGTCTCAGATACATTAGTGAATGATGGAGTCAGTTATTAGCAAAATGCACTGAAAAAGTTTTTTAAAATATGTGTAGAAAACAGTGAAATTAATCTTGTCTGGCCAGTCAGCTCTCTTGGTGTTCAGCACCCCTAAAGCTCTGATCCTAGAATCGCCCCTAATGGAAAGCAATCTTACCTGGCAGACCTAAGAAAATATCCCATTTGGAGGTCCTCAAGGCTCTATTTGTGAGCCACTTTTATTTAACGCCAATAAGGCCACTAGATTAAACTGTTGAGTACTATGGAATATCTTATCATATATATATTGATTACACACAACACCATAGTTTTTTGTTACCACAAAAGGCCCTGAAAGTCACTGACATAGATTAACACCCTTTCTCACTTTTTTCCACTGTTCTTCTCAGTCCGGAAATTACATTTGCAACACTCTTATCTGCATTGCTTCACTGAGTAGCCCAGAGATGTGCCGATAGGCATGCGCAATCACATGATGGCACGATAAAAGGCGATAATAAATGCTTAAGTGAGACCAAAAAAAATGAGAAGACAGACATTAAGCAGCATTTAAAACGGCTTGGCTCTTTGTTTTTCATCTAGATGAGTTTTATGCTACAATAGTTTTTTGTTCCGGCTAATTTCTGTGCATTTAATATTTCTATGATGCGTAACCATGAATGATTCATTAAGATAAATGTATAAATATCCAAGTATATTGGTTAATGTAGAGCCTTTCTTTAGTGAATTATTTCGTGAATACATATGCTCTCCTCATTCTGTTTTCTGTTGGTGCAGTTTGGTCTGTAGGGTGACTCTTAACTCTTTCAAGCATCCTGCAAAATAAACTCTGGTTAAACTTCAGAGGATGGCTGTGCACAAGGTGTGGCCCTGCACTGCCCTGCGGAGGCAGTGTAAAAGCTTTCATTGGCTATAATGGTACGTAATTATTGTGGAGTTCATACAGAGCTGCAGTGTAAGTTGGGGTTAGGTCTATTTTTGACATTAATTAATGCGTTAATTAGAATTTTACACAACTTGGGGCAGAAAGAAATAAAAGCTTCTAGTTTTAACCAGAGAGTAATTTAAATATTGAATCAGTGTTTATAGTGGACACATCTTCACCAGACTTCATCTTTCTTAAAAAGCTGTTCAGCTTTCTTATCTTTAATAGCAGTGATCCACAAGGTGCCAAGTGGTGTAATATTGCATGCTTTTATAGATCCACCTGCACTTTAAAATTTAGATTTAAATTTGGCAAAATTAATTGCTTCTCTCTTTTTAGTGACAATATTTGTCTGCAAAGCAAAAAACACTAAATTTATTTGTATCATTTGCACAAGCATCCAAAGCAACATTCTTTTGCTGAAGCTTTTGACAGCTGGATTTCTCTTTTCGTCCAAAATCCATCAAAAATAATTTGGCTTTGTGGATTAAAGTGCTCTGCGGGCTCTCAGATGGTGGAGTTAAGCTGTGGCTGCATGGCAGTGGTTTCCTTTCATGTTGTAACACTGGATGCGACTCTTGCATATTTCCTTCTGTCTGTATTATGCTTCTTAAACCAACGTTCTTTCATTTCAGATATTAGTTCAGTCTTTCAGCCTCTCTGGTTTTTATTAATCCCTTCTTATTCCCTGTTTGCAGCTTCCTTTGCTTTTACGGGCAAGCTGAGAACTTTCAGGTGGACTACTCTATAATTTTCACCAGCATAAGATGAGTCTGGGAAATGTATCACCCACTAACGGCTACTCTAATACGCCTCTCCCGCTTAAAAACGGGGGGAAAAAGAAGCTACTTCCTCTTTATGCTTAGCTTCCCTTTTAACACAGGAGCGCTATTTTTATATTTTCGCTTGTTCACTGCACTGTCCCATTTTGACATAGCAGTGTTTTGAAATATATTTAAGCAATGGAATGCATGTGCAGAACTGAACCTTGAAGGTGCAGAGTCATCAAAATGTAAAAAACCTACCTCTAGACGACATTAGAATGAAGGTGAACTTTTAATTCCACATGTGCTTAAAGTGTTCCAAATGCACATAGAATGATCTTTTTTTTGTCAAAGTTTAACCTTATTTACTCAAATGTAACCTTTTGCCCTCTCCTTAGTCTTATTCAGGTCTCAAATCCTGAGGTAATCACTGGATCCAGGTAGATGTTTTACTGTAGGGAAGTTATGGGAAAATCTCCCCGTAGAAAATGTAAACAAGCAAGTTTATAAGAACAACAATACTCCTTCTGGCCTTGGTTTGACAACTTGTTGCAAAGCAGACGTGTCAAAATACACTTGCCTTATGTTTACAGATGAGAGCTGGGTCAGTGATGAACGAGCAATGAAGAGGAGAATGGAGCAATAGTAATAAGAATTGAGAGAAAAAAATGGAGGGACAGGGATCCACTGATAATCATCACAGAGAACCAAGGAGCCAAGCCTATTAGAGTCACCCATCTAGTTTTTTTTATTTAT